ACATAGACCAACGACATAGACCAACGACACATAGCAACGACACATCTACATATGACTTCTACTTATTTTTGATACAAATGGAACGCCATCAAATTTACAAGTGAGTGTTATAACAGTAATCTTTATTTTATTTTCACAGTAGCTTTCATGTCAGATAATCTAAATCAATGTTAGAGAATATATTCAGTCCTCGCATAGAATATATTTAACTGAGCCCCAAGCGCCACTTTTTGAGGTTTTATTTATTTAATTTAATTTATTTTTACATATTTTTTAACTGTGTCAGGAGACCTGCTTGTGCCCCTCAGCAATAATATTAAGCTAAAAATAACAATTTAACTTAAAAAATTAGTCTGGCTTAGCTTTCAATTTATAACAGTATGGGTGCATTAATAACAATAGAGAACAATAAAGAGAACAATAAACCCAAATTAATATAAAAATATCCTTAGATGCAGATGGACTGTAGAGGGCACTGCACTTAATGACAGAGCGCATTTAGAGAGAGAACAATCAACCAGAATGCAATATTAAGACATGTAATTAACTACATATTTGTATAAACATTTTATTAAGCTAGACATATGTCTGACAGTCTGCAGACTGTCTTAAAAGATTAGAAGAAACTCTATGTTAAGTTTTATGTTTTATTATTAAATGTGTAGGTTTGTAAATGACCAGCTGATTAAGTATTATTTGTTCTCCTTATAGAGACAAAACCTGAAACCTTGATTATAAGAGAATTATCTCAAAGAAAACAGGCTGAGATTTCCAGAGGATCTCACTACGGCTGACAAGGCGCTGCGGAGAAAGATGTCGCGATTAACTGAGATAGCCAGGAAGGAAGGGAAAAAGCACACTTTACTGGAGACAGTGGAATAACTTAACGGCAGCTGCAGATACCCACACCTGCTTTCCTCTTCCTCCACTATGGAGTGAAAATAGTCTCTGTGCGTGTGTAAAAGTATCTGTGCGTGTGTAAAAATATCTGTATGTAGTACTGGATTTGTAACTCTGTGTTGTAACTCTGGATAGTTGTATCTGTGAAACATGATTTGTAAACCGTAAAAAGAAAATAAACCTTATCATATGCCTTCAAATGTTGAAAAAGTACGCACGAGTCGCCAGATACACTCACACAAAACTGCATTTACCACAGACCCGGTTACGAGTGCACGAGTATTTTTGAGACTCATTTCACGCTTCCGGAGCTCCCAGATTTGTGTGTAGATGGTGCGTTTACATGCTAGTAGAAAGCTGGGTCATCTGAATTTTGCTCTGAACGTTTCTCACTGAGCTTGTGCCGAAGTGGCAAATACGTTAGTTTGGTGGAAAACGGAATATTTCAGCACTTCCTTATAATATTCCAAAATTGTTTGTAGACATATTGTGCATTTTTGAGTGGTACATGAGACTACGTGGTCTGAAAAACGACCACTGGTTGGGGGAATGGTTCGCTGGCCGGAAAAATAGGCAGGCAAACCAAGCAAGACGGAGCGTCCCTTTCAGATCTCATCAACACACTGATCCTCTAACAGGGATCCTCAGACCGAGGCATCGATGTCTGGTGTCCTGTAAAAGTATCTGTGCGTGTGTAAAAATATCTGTGTGTGTTTGTGTGTGTAAAAATACAACAACAACTAAATCCTCTCACCTCATTTTGTCTGTTTTAAATATTTCACACCTGTCCTTAATGTACATCAATCGTATTTATGTCTGATGTGATATACCACGCTGACGTCAGCAAGGAAGCGAAAAAGTTTCGCAGGCTTTGATTGGAAGTTGGAAGATGACATAACCGGAAGTTTTGTTCAGCCTGTCCAGAGCGGGAACACGGAGCTGTTTTAGCACAGAAACTGCTGCTGCGTCAGGTCGTTGTTTTAAAGCCAACACCGTATTACATCTTCTGTCCGGTCTGAAATTCTGCTGGTAAGATTAAAGGTTATTTCTGGTCTGGTTGCTAGGTTACTCGTTTGGGTACTGATACGACTGAAACAGTGAACAACAGCTACCAGTGCTCTAGTTAGCAGGCTAAAAGTTTGTTAGTATGCTAGGGATCTGCAGGTCGGTTTATCTCACAATGTCATGTCTTCTTTTACCTGAGTCAGAAGGAATCATGCAGGCCTTCCTGAAAGGAGCAACTATCCAGACCAGTAGACCCCAGAAGGATAAGGTGACAGCGGGACCCAGTGGTGAGAAGAAGGCGAAGGCTGTTCCCTGGGTCGAGAAATAGTAAGTCTTAACTTCAAGGTTTATATTTCACTCTGGGGCTGAATACTAAACAAAATTACTTTACTTTTAGTTAGGGTTAGGGGTCCTGTTATTGCTTCAAAACAATAACGTGTGGTGACACATGTCTAACTGTAGTGTTCATGTGTCACCACGAGAATTTTACATATTCTGTACAGGAGACAGAACGTTTTATTTTCTGACTGACATTAAATCAGAATATATATTTCCTGTTTCGGCCAGTCAGACTAAAATAAACAAGTTCTATTTACTAAATGCCAGCCTATGTTTCTGCTACCTGCTGTTTCAGCAGGAAGGGGTAACGAGTTCAGTAATCTATCAGGAGGACATTTTGAGATTTACCGAATATGAGGAAATGGCTGAAAACCTCTGCATTTAAGAACCTCCACATTCTTCTTCCAAAAAAAAATATTCTGGGATTTAGCACATAAAAAGGATTTATTAATTCTAACTGACTTGTTACAGAAAACATTTAGCCTAGCCTCTGAGCATGAGGAGTGGAGGGGAAATGGGATGTGTTGATTTGTGAAGGGCCCGCCCAACCCTTCATCGGGCCTTAAGCGAAATTTGGTTTTGGGGCCCTCTAGTTCTGCTAACAGTATGGACTGGCTGCAATTAGCAATCCGATCATTAGATCATTCACACACCTGGTATAAACTTATTCCATCTCTGGCAGTGCTGTTTACATTATATACATGTATAATAGAATACATTTATTGGCCAACTGATTTATCAACCAGTCGATTTCTGGGCGCCGATTTCCTTAATTTTGGAGGGTCGTGATTGGCCGACACATGTGAAGCCCATCTTATCTCCTAATCTTATTTTCATCAGCAAAGGTTTAAAGATCAGCCTCTGTCCTCTTCTGCTCTGCAGTGAGAGATTTGACTGACAGACCGGACCACCAGGTCCGGTCTGCACATTTACAGTTAACAATATTCACCCCATTGTTGCCAATTCACCAACTTTTTTGCTATATTTAGCAACATTTCAGACAAAAAAAATTCCTATCAACCAAAATCAAAATCGGCGGGGCAGGCTTTTTAAAGATCGGTAACCAGGGGTCAGCCAGAAAACTGCAATCGGTGCAGCCATACACACACATTCATGACATTCTATGATTAAATAAATTTCTCTTTAGTGTTACTCCAATAGCTAAAAATGTAATTTATACCTGGTGAGTCTTTCTCCCCTGAGAATGTGGATTGGTACTGAACTGATTATGAGCCTTCAAATGATTTTAACAGAAGTTTCACATAACTTAGAAAAATAATGTTTGTTTTAGCCACAAAATGATTATATTCAGCAGCAAACAACATATCTCCAACTACAGCGTAGAGTAGCTAATCGTTGTAGCAGCTATGTAGCCTGATGTAAAAACATTTTGGTAGACAATGTCAAACATTGAGAAGTTTTAATTATTATTATTATTAAACGTTATCAAACACAGCGTTTTGAAGCCAAAAATACCTCAGAAATATACACCGCCAACCATGAGAATCAACTCATTTAAAGTTTAAACTCAGTTTCACACAAACACAAAGACGCTAGCATAAATGTTTGGCTGTTGAACTGGACCGTTCACGCTAATTTTCTATTAGCAGCTTTACAAATCTTTTACATTACATTACATTACATTACCAAGGCACATTAAAACAAACCTTTATCTTGGCTTTTTTCTATTCTTCCTCTTTCTTTTCTCCCTCCCTGAAGAATACGTCCTTTTTTGAGACATTGTTTTGCTTACTTTCTGACCGGAACTTTGGACGTTTGGATGCTCTGCATATTGCACGGCAGCTCAAATTATCGGCGAAGCGTGTGGTACCTACCCCGGCCACCAGAGTGCCCCAAGAGCAATTTTTGTTTTTCTTTTTATCTATAAAATAATGATTTCTACATACATTATCAAATATATATTATTGTAAAAACAAATCACTTTATGGGGAAATTGTGTGTTTTTGATATTATAATGATACAAAAATTATTATTAAAAAAAAAATCGGCTCCACTGAGGGGGCCTCTTAGTGGCCTTGGGGCCCTAAGCGGCTGCTTAGTTTGCTTATGCATTGGACCGGCCCTGGCTTTGTGTTTTCTAGCAATCTGGATTCATCTGTATAGCACTAAATATTATCACTTTTATATTTTGTGTAGTTCAGTTTCTTTCTCTGTCTTTTAATTCCCCATTCAAAAAGATTGCAACCTTGTTAGTCAAAAGGTTACAATATTTGACCAAACAAGTTGTGCAAAAAGTGGACAAATAAAAACTATTGGAGCCCAAGCTTGTATCTGAACTAAAATAAAGGAGTTCCCTGCATCAGCTGTCATTAGTTCAGATTTTATAAGGAAATTTTAAATGGCTGTCTTGAAAACTACAGACACTAAACATAGCTATTGAGTAAATTAGCTTCACCTTCTGAGATGTGGTTTACTGCTAAATGAAAGTCTTTAAATTCCACATATCTGTTACAAGCTCTGGAAAACAAAACTGAGCACATTTGGCCGCCGTGGATTAAATTTGGTCCTTTTTAGATTTAACATAAGGTAGCTGGACCGGAGAGCAGTCCTAGTTCCACTGAGTGAATTGCAAAATAAATTAAATGAGTGTTACTAATTGGGTGAATACATATCAGTAGGTTTGTTTTTGTGTATTTTTCTAACTCCAGCAGACCCAAATGTGTTGATGAGGTGGCCTTCCAGGATGAGGTGGTCACAGTGCTGAAGAAGTCACTGGAAGGAGCAGATGTAAGTATCAGTCTAGCCCAGTGGTGCCCAAAGTCGGTCCTCAAGGGCTGGCATCCTGCATGTTTTAGTTCTCTCCCTGGTTTAACACACCTGGATCAAATGATGGCTCATTAGAAAACCTAAGAAGAACATTGACATGCTGAAAAGGTTGTTGTTGCCAGTAAGGAGAGAACTAAATTATGCAGAATGCTGGCCCTCCAGGACTGACTTTGGGCACCCTAGGCCTAGTCTCTTACTAATTTCAGATTTGCCAATAAAAAGCAAAAACAAGCTTTCCTTTTTTAAATTAACCTTGGCTAATTAATAGCTTTATCATCTGTGCATTTAGACACAGGCCAACATGATGAGTTGGCCCGTCACGATAAACAATAAATCAATTAATGTCATGATAAATTAAAATGACCTCAGTAATAAATGAGGGCGATAATATTATTGCTTGTTTGTTTTTGTCATCTCTTTCTTTCTACCAAAGAAACAAAATGACATAAAGCTTCACTCCGGTGCCTCACGTTACTCCTCCCCTCTCCTTTCCTCGGTAACAGCTAAACACACAGGGAGCTAAAAGCATTAGTTTTCCCTCTGCTTGGGCTGAACCCAATACAAGGGACACAGTAGTAACAAAAGCAACAAAAGTTTAACAATTTTCAACTTTCTTGTGTAGCGTTGCTAGCCTGCATGTGCACGTATGCATGTACGAGCTAGAAATTTCACATGCACAACTTAAACTGTTCACTCTTCTGGATGAGGGCAAGAGACTGTCACCTCATCGCTCAAACTTCATAGAAATGAATGGAGAGGGAGCAGTGCTGTGTCTGGTCACTGTGTGACCATTACCTCAGTTACCTGCTAGGCTCCTGGTCTAATACCACAGAGCGTAGCATAAAGCCCAGTGAGGAGGAGTGAGCCAGGGAAACGCTATTTTAAAAAGTGAACGTGACAGCTGCTGTCTGGCAGCACTTAGGATTTAAACTGAATGACCGTGGTGAATAAGTGAACCTGTGGGGGTGTAATGTTGTAAAACAGTTGCGACTAAACAGTAACCAACATATCTGCACCTAAAATGCACCGATGCATGTTTAGTTGCTTGGGGATGGTCCTATTGACACTCATGGGGTTGCAGTGGCATTTCTGATATGGGTGACAGAGGCAACCACCCAGGGCAGCATGTTGTTGGGAGTGGCACTCCCCACCCCCTGCCATCAACTGGACAGTCCGAATGTGAACAGTGCCTAATGCAAACCCAGGGACCCTCCTTCCAATTTTTTATATTTAAAAAGTCTTCCAGTTCCAGTGCTAAATGTTCTTTCAAAATTCGTTTTTTGTTCTCTAAGAGGGTGCAATTGCATTGTTATGCAATTTTTATAATATTAGTGGTTTCAAAATAGCAATATTAGACTGAAACTGAGAGTTTATCGCAATAATTTCTGGGACAATTGCCCAGCAAAATTTGTTATTGTGACCAGCGTATTTATTTATTTAAAAAAGAAATAAAACCCACACATTTAAACATATTTTAATGACTTTGAACTCCCATGGAGAACCTAAGGTTCCTGGGACCTCCTCCAGTCTGGACATCCTTGTCTTGTGGGAACCAGTCCTTACTCTCAGTTTCTGTCCCAGCTACAATTTGGGACAGAATTACCTGGGCATGATAAATTTATTATGTTGAATTAAAAACTTATAATTTGCATAATCCAAATCCATGAATGTTGACTGAAAACCACACAGTGGTGAAGGAGCACATGTCTGAGGATTAGCTTTTATCTTGAAGTCATGTGATTTCTGCTTCATTTCAGCTTCCAAACCTTCTCTTCTACGGTCCTCCTGGAACAGGAAAGACTTCCACCATCTTAGCTGCTGCCAGAGAACTTTATGGGTGACTGATTTGTTTTTTTTTTTAACTCCCTCCAGTACTGGAATGTTATTTGTTGCGTTGTTTTTATTTTCAACTCCTTCCTGTTGTGTCCCTCATTAGGCCGGAGCTGTATCGACAGAGGGTGCTGGAGCTGAATGCTTCGGATGAACGAGGAATTCAGGTCATCAGGGAGAAAGTGAAGAACTTTGCTCAGCTCACTGTGGCTGGGACGCATCCAAAGTGAGTCTGAACTCCTGCAGAATTTCATCCCTGTGCTTGTTTCTTTGTATCAGGCACTTACTTGAATTTGAAGAGTCTGTTACTTTGTCTGTGTGTTTATCACGAATGGTATGAAGGTTTTCCATTAAAAAAAAGGCTCAAACCCATGACATTTCCAAGAGCTATGATCTTCTGTTTGCAGCGGAAAGCCATGTCCTCCTTTTAAAATCATCATCCTGGACGAGGCAGACTCTATGACAGCTCCAGCACAAGCTGCGCTCAGGCGGACAATGGAGAAGGAGTCCCGCTCCACCCGCTTTTGCCTCATCTGTAACTACATCAGCAGGTGTGCTGAAGGTCCGTAGGTCAGCCCTCTGCAGCACTGTGACCTGGCCCACCTGACTCGTGTGTTCCTCTCTTTATTCCTCAGGATTATTGAGCCTCTTACCTCCAGATGTTCCAAGTTTCGTTTCAAACCTCTGGCTAGTCAGATCCAAGAAGAACGTTTACTGGAAATCTGTGATAAGGAGAAGCTCAAGTACACCAAAGCGGTAGGAGATGGAAGCTGCATTTGTTGATTTGAGAGCAATCAGACCAGCAGATAGAGGTGTCAGAATTTTATTTACAAACTCAACCATTTCCTGAGCTGGTATTTACTTGCTTAAGCACACTTCCCCTTCCAAAAGCTTTTCATGTTAAGCATAATACCTTATGTATTTGGATGTATAAATTGATTCATGATGTGGTGTGTGATAATTAGCTCCCATACTATAGTTAGATAAACATCCTTCATACAATGATGTCTGAGCTAGGGCTAGAAGATTTGGAAAAAATTTCTATCACCATAACATTTTTCATTTCCATTGTTCTCTATCACGATATGAAACAAATCACTATTTTTATGTTTAATGTTCCCTGGATCTATTAATTTTAAATTTAGTGAATTTTAATTTTAAAGATTTAATTTTAAAACTTGAACATGTCATCACTCTTTTGGATAAATAAGAGACACGCTTTAAAATAAAAACTTCAGGCATTACAGGAGAACTGAGCAAAACATTTTATATTTTTTTGTGGACATCAACTAAATAAAATGGGCATTGAAATATTAATTCTCAAAATCTGTCTTTTGTATAATCCATTTTTTAATTACTTTTTTTAGCGTAAGATATCGACAGAGAAAAAATTGTTTTATTGCCCGGTTATAGTTCAGAGTTCTCTAATATGAACTCAAACTGCTTGCTGTCTCTAGACCTTAAAAACAATTTTTCATGTATTTCCATTTGTTTCAGCAGGCTCAGCAGGTTGGCTGTGTTGTATTATTTTGGTCATGTGATAGAAATGTAGAACATGCTTATGGGTTGGGGTGTTTAAGTAAAGCAGGAAAGAATGTAGATATTGTGTCCACATTTACATGGTGGTGAAAGTGCACGGAAATGTATATGGTATTGGTTATCGGTGACAACGATATCGGATATCGGCCCAAGTTTCCATATTGGTCCGTCAATAAAAATGACCTATATTCAGATTTATCTGGGGAGTTTTTTATCACCACTATATACATCCAAGGTCACCTTGTTAGCTGTTCTGGTAGCCATCAGTACAGACCCAGACATCTTGACATCTCAGTGATGGAGCAGTAGATGAAAATGGCCTTTTAATAAATTGTGTAGATGACCAGAGCTCAGCAGCACTGCTGTTATCTTCAGTTTAGTTCCAGAGTGCTAACCCAGAACATGCAGATTTCTGCTTCAAGCTTTTATTAGCTTATTTCATCGACTCAAATTTCTTAATTGCTTATTTTGTTGCTGCTTGTAAGCTTTAATCAAACAGGTCTCTCTCATAAATAAAGATCAAAAAATGAGAAATAAAAAAACTCAGCTAATGCTGTCTGGCGTGTGGATAGGCCTGTCATGATAACAAATTTTGCTGAGCGATTGTCTAAAAAAATTATTGCGATAAACGATAATATTGTTTCAAGCCCTTTTGACACTGATTTAATGGAAATGACTATTAATGCACGCAATTTCCTGTCATAGATAGATACACTTTATTTTCAAAAGAACTGACAAACAAAACAACCAAAAGTAAGTATTTTCCTTACAACAATCTTGGAACGTTGGACATTCTAAGATTGTCGCTGGTGATTTCGTAACCGATCGTCCTGCAGTGTGTGGCCACGACAATCTAAAAAAGTCACACTTTAAGTATACCAATCCTAAGTATACTTGAAATATACTCAAGTATGTTAAAATTTAACATACTTATTACACAATATTTCGCTTTGATCTAAATAAGGGGTTTTCCCCGACTGGGAGCTGAACTCAGCCTGTTGAATGTGACAGGTAGCCAATCAGAAGGCACAGATTCTCCTCCGTGCTTTCTGAGGGGAAATTACCAAGGGGAATCCCACACAGTGCAACCTGAAGACCAGCAGACATTGGAGATGATATGTGGAAACAACATTAATATTTATTCAACATTTTGTGCAAAGAATATAGAAATGACAAGGAGAGGAGTTGGAGCCAAATTGCTACTGCAGTTGATAAACCCGGTAACTTTTCAGCTGTTCTTCGTTAACATGACATAAATAGGTTATAATGATTTTCATTGAGTCAGGACTTGCGCTGACTGTAGCCACATGTATCACAGGTAGATTCTAGTAAAGCATTGATTAATGCCTGATACTAAAATTAGTTAACTGGACTTGTAGCCATTATTTTGTGCCCATGTGGCTGGACACCACACTGCACGATCAAACCCGATCGAACCGTTATACCTAGGATTTCTGTCGACTAATGTGTGGTCTCTCAGGTTTTGAAAATGGGACGACAATCAGCCGACAACTCATGTAGTGTGCGATGGACATTACACTAAGGAAATGAGGAAGGGAGGGTCAGTGGAGAGCTCCGGAGCTGAGCCTTTTTTCATTCAGTATCATCAACAGAAAGAAAAAAAAAATGCAGGAAGAGACGATAAAGCTGATAATTAAAATGAGGTCGATATGTTTAATTTATCGTGCGATTAATTGATCTATCGTTTATCGTGACAGGCTTACAAGCCTCAAATGTTGATTTCGTGCTGTTATGCTGCGAGAGTGGACCGGCTCTTCTTATCTGGCTTCTCCTTTGTTTCATAGAGACCTAAACTTCCCAAAGTTTTTCTACTTGCATTCTTCTGTCTTTTGATCGCAGTTGTTGTAAATAAGAGGATGTTGTGCAGTCGCAATAACCGTGCCCTGTAAATATGTGATTGTGTGTTGGGAAACAATTTGGTGATTTGAATGTGTGAAGTGTTATAAAATGAACACCATGAGTAAATTTAATATTGAATGTACATCAAGACCTTCTCTCTCTTTTTTAAAATGGCTTTGCATGGCGTAGAGCATTGCAGCGTTGGTGCAGCTGTCTGAGGGGGATCTGAGGAAAGCCATCACGTTTCTTCAGAGCGCAGCGCGTCTCAACGCTGACAAGGAAATCACTGACCAAGCTATAATTGAGATAGCGGGGGTGAGTCACAGAGGAGAGAAATGATGGACACCTTCATCAGCTGTAAGTTCAACATTGTGTATGATTGAAACATGATGGTATGGTTCCTACACACATCACTTTTATAGGTCATTCCTTCCAAAATGATTGATAAATTGCTCCAAATCTGCTTCAGAGGAACGTTTGAGAAACTAGAGGTCGCAGTGAGGGTAAGTTATTGCTTTGTCTTCACATTTGTGTCCTAAACACTGTGCTTTGTCGACACAGACAAGTGCTTCAGTTATTTGACATAACCTAACCAGAATGTTTTTTTTCTTCAACAGAACATTAGGTTCTATTGTTTGGTTTTGTTCTGCTGCCTTGCTGTAATGCACTTGCTTTGTGTTTCCTCTTCTGTGTCATACTTCTCTATTAGAACATGGTGAATGAAGGATATGCAGCCACACAGATCCTGAGTCAGCTCCATGACTGCATCTTGGAAAAGGACATTACTGACGAGCAAAAGTCAGCCATCTTTGAAAAGATGGCGGTGAGTGTCTTCTATGGACTTATTTAGTTCAGTTTGAAATAAAAATAACTCCTTTAGAATAACTAGTGCTGTTTGTTATACAAATTTGTCACAATAATTAGCATACTGAAATAAAATTAAAAATACACTAATTAAAGCAGGCAAATTTATTTGTATGGCACATTTTAGCAACAAGGCAATTGAAAGTGCTTTATATGATGAGAACATAAAACATCAAGCAAATAAACGTTTTACATAATAAAGGAAGGTAATAAAAAACTGAGAAAGTTCCACTTATTACTAATCAAATGCAAGTTCAGTTGGAGAAAGTTCTGATATACCCACACATGGATTTCTTTTATGCACCCACTTGATGCTTGAAGTGGGTTTGGAGTCACCTGGGGCCTCATGCATTAAAGAGTGCGCAGTTTTCACACTAAAACTTGGCATACAGAAATTTAGAAAAGGGCGGTGTACCAAAAAATTCCGATGTGTAAAGCCATGCACACGCACGTGGCTGTGCACCTTTCCTTTATACATCCCAATTTGCGGGAAAGAGTGCAGCTCCTGGTCCGCCCTGCCCAAGTGAAAAATTAGTATAACTTTAAATCAAAAATAATTTTTAAAAACTTAAAAAAAATTGAGTAGGAACTGTAAATGACAAAAATCCAAATATATTTTGAAAGTATAAGTATTAATATTAAATATGTGTGGTCATACTCACAACATCTAGGTGTAGATATAAACTGTGTGTAAATTGGCCAGTGTAATGTTGAGGCAAGAAAAAGTTTTTCGATTAATCCTTGTCTGAATAAAGTCATAACTGCCCTATGGATTTGGCCATTATTCTTGGACTACAGGTGATCATTGCTTAGAATAGTGATTAGTTACTGTCTGGATATTCACTAATCTGATTAAACTGTTTCATGACTGTACAATGAATTTACAGTCATTGAATGGGGAAGGAGCCGGAGCTAGTGTGTGATGCTGATAGGTTCCAGCTAGAAATAGTCAGTCCTGCCTTGACGCATGGCTATGGTTCTGGAACCAGTCTCCTTGAGAGGGGCTGGACATACTTCCACTCAGGAGTTGCCCATGGTGAGAGGCGCCGGGCAGGAGTGGGCATACTTGTTGCCCCCCATCTCGGCGCCTGTACGTTGGGCTTTACTCCGGTAAACAAGAGGGTAGCCTCCCTTCGCCTACGGGTGGGGGGATGGGTCCTGACTGTTGTTTGTGCTTACGGGCCGAACAGCAGTTCAGATTACCCACCCTTCTTGGAGTCCTTAGAGGGGGTACTGGAGAGTGCCCCTCCTGGGGACTCCTTTATTCTGCTGGGGGACTTCAACGCTCACGTGGGCAATGACAGTGAGACCTGTAGGGGTGTGGTTGGGAGGGGGGTTCTTCGGGAGTATGGGGTACCGGGCCCTTTGATACGGGCTGTCAGGTCCCTATATGACCAGTGTCGGAGTCTGGTCCACATTGCCGGCACTAAGTCGGGCTCGTTTCCCATGAGAGTTGGACTCCACCAAGGTTGCCCTTTGTCACCGGTTCTGTTCATTACTTTTATGGACAGAATTTCTAGGCGCAGCCGGGGTGTTGAGGGGATCCGTTTTGGTGGCCTTAGGATCGCATCTCTGCTTTTTGCGGATGATGTGGTCCTGTTGGCTTCATCAGATCGTGATCTGCAGCTCTCGCTGGAGCGGTTCGCGGCCAAGTGTGAAGCGGCCGGGATGAGGCTCAGTGCCTCCAAATCCGAGGCCATGGTCTTGAGCCGGAAAAGGGTAGAGTGCCTTCTCCGGGTCAGGGGGGTTGTCCTGCCTCAAGTGGAGGAGTTTAAGTATCTGGGGATCTTGTTCACGAATGAGGGAAGAAAGGAGCGGGAGATCGACAGGCGGATTGGGGCAGCGTCTGTCGTGAAGCGGGCGCTGTACCGGTCCGTCGTGGTGAAGAGAGAGCTGAGTCAAGAAGCGAAGCTCTTGATTTACCGGTGGATCTACGTTCCCACCCTCATCTATGGTCATGAGCTTTGGGTCATGACCGAAAGAACGAGGTCCCGGATACAAGCGGCCGAAATGGGTTTCCTCCGCAGGCTGGTTGGGCTCTCCCTTAGAGATAGGGTGAGAAGCTCGGTCATCCGGGAGGGACTCAGAGTAGAGCCACTGCTCCTCCACGTCGAGAGGAGCCAGTTGAGGTGGCTCGGGCAT